CAGGCTCCTGAAAGCTGATATCACACTGTACTTTCATATTTGCACATTTGTGACCTTTATATGAGTAGTTTTTGGCACCCAGGTGTCAGTAGAGTGTACTCATGTGGGTGTCCCAGGCTGTACAGGCCGTGCTTTTGGGGGAGAGGCTGCACATGTATGTTACTGAAAGAAAGGGTATTCCTTTGTGAAGCACACTGTTAAACTGCCAGTGTTTATGACCAGAAAGAGCCCAGGGTGTCCAAATCACGAAAGCATGGCTGTATTTTCTGGCTGCTCATGTAGGCCTGACCACGAAGACTTGGGTGTTTTGTTGCACTGTGGTAGTAACCCATGATGAAGCTTGTCTAGTATGAGAGTCATTGTGACTGGGATGCTCACTGTGGAGGCCCAGGAACTTGGGCTTCAGCAGCTTCAGCGAGGGGAAGGGTCTCCTGTGTCCTGGCTGAGTACTCCAAATGCTTGGAGTTATTTCAAGTGGCAGCTGTAGGCATCTTCATTCAGGAAAAAGGTTCCAGCTTTGAATTCTGGAATGAAGAGATGCATCTGTCTTGTAGCCTGATTTAGAGAGAGGAGACATGAGGTGCTGCTTCCTCCCTCATACCTGCCATGCTTGGTGCTTTTTAAGTGGTAGGCAACTTCCCACACATAATGCAAAATTGGATTGTTTTGTTCAACTGTTGTGGTACGGCTCTTATCTCTGGGTGCTAGGTAAGATGTTTAGCTATCAACTTTGGACTTGGCCAAGTCCTGAAAGCTGCACATTGTTGCCTTTGGAGTTCCTACATCCATCTCTGCAYAGAGTGCTTCCACAGACATGAACTGACTCTGATAGCTCATGGGCCTTTGCATTGCCCATATCCCTCATTTGGGTTATTTTGGGAGTCCTCAGATAAGATAGCTCTTTATGCTGATGTATGCAGGCAGACATAAAAGGCTGCTCTGGGGGTGAGCTACAGTATTTCAAAATGGTTTCTGCAAGTGACTGTGGGTCCATGAACTGATCAGCAATACCCCCCACGGGTGAATCCAGTGAAGATATTCTGGCTGGGAGCATCAGTTGTCGTAAAAGGGAAATGAAAATTAGTCTGGGGGAAAGAAGTCAATGAATCTGCTCAATTTCTCCCCCTCCCCCCCGAATTCTGTAGTACACATAAGCACAGACCTTGCGTAAGTGGATTGCATTTCACACCTAATGTGCATAATTATATCTTGCAAACAGTTTATTAATGGATCTATAATCACAGAGTAGCTTGTACATACATAATGCTGGTGTTTGATTATACTGCAGCTGCCATAGATCAATGGATACAGAGGAGTCTGGCTTATTAGTGTCTCACACGTGTGAAATCTAGAGAACAATATCACACCGGTGCCATGCAGTTGTTCATCAAATGCTGCTACCTAGGGGAAACCAGAGGTTTTAAAGACGTGGTGGAGAAGGGTTATAGAAAGAACAGTACATAACAGGACTTGGCACTTGAAGAAGGCTCCCTTTCTCAAAACTATTCCATCTGCAAATCCTTCGGTGGTGTTCTGTCTCAATTATCAATGCACTGTAAACATGTTAGATCTTATTTTGGAAAGGGATCTGTTCTGAGAATTCACTCAGAAAGCAGCATTGCTTGACCATTTCTGTTTTCTGAAGGTGACTCACCCGGATGACTGATGAACAGCCTAAGTTCTCGTGAATCAACAGACCAGGGRTTAGCAGACTGAGCTAAGCCAACTAAAATCAGAGCTGCCTGAACCACAGTGAAATGGTTTGCAGAGGTATCACCAAGATGCCTTTGGGAGGCAGTCRCATTTGGTTATGCACAAGGAAAAAGGTTCTAGCTTGTTTTGGTGTGTTGATGATATAGTGCTGAAAGCAAAAAAAAAGGTTTGGTGAGCTGCAGAATTCCCATGAGATTGTATCCCATCTCTCACACGATAACCTCAGCTTTCCCTCTCATGTCCCCCAGCTACCACCTGCGAAGCTGCCTCTGATCTGTGTTGACTGTCTGGCTGGTGGCCAGTGACTCTGGCCAAACAGGGTAAATAACTGTGGAAATYATGCTCTAGCCTTTCTTGCAGCAAMGAKGTTATTAGCTTCTGTGCCTCTCCTCCGTCTAGCTAGGAACAAAAAAATAGTAACTTCTCTGTCTTTAAGAGCTTAATTGTCTTGTTAAATATTGGGGGCTGTGAGAAGTAGAGAAAGGAAGAGCTGGAGCAATTTTATAGCTTTTCTTGATGAGAAAACATGTCTAGAATAATTGTTTTCTCACAGCTATATCTGTTACAATACGAAGTAATTGGTTCGCTTTGCAAAGAAGGTATTCTTCAGAGAAAAGGCTTTTTTTTTCTTTTATGTCAACTAGCTTTCTTGCAGAGAAACTGGATAAATTCAGAAAAAATAATATGATCCTGTGCCACTATGCACCATTTCACTCCTTCCAGCTACCTTGTTTCTGCATTAACTAACTGAGGCAAAGAGCACAGGCAGTGTCCAATTTCTTACAAACTTTCTGATAATATTGACTCACTTTATTTAAAATAAAAACTTCAGAAAGATGGAAACTCCAGGATGACAAATGTTAAACAAAGAGCTGCATGGGGGAAAGCAGTCAAACTTGATGTTGTTTCCTAGGTCTTGAAAAATATATGCCAAGGTCAAAAACACCAAACTTGCTAGGTGATTACATCTCCTGTTTCTTATTTTAGGGCTTTACAACGACTCATCTTGCTTTTGACCTTGGTTGGTTTTTTTGGGGTTTGTTTTTTTTTTTTTTTCTTTGCACACTGTTGTTTGGAAGAAGGCACAGTCAGTTTCGGGAGTGAGGAGGTGGAACTGGGTGAGGTAGTAGCAAGTAGTGAAAGATTATTGGAGGTCAAAAGAGCAGATTTCTACCTTATGAACTTGGCAGTTCTCCTGCAGGCCTACGCTCCTGGTATTGATCTTGCTGCAAGATGAATAGTGATATGGATTTTTTTTTTAAATGTCTTATTTTGGGACCTTTTAAATGTGGCTGACATTCACGAAAATTTCACTTAAGRGTTGATATTAATCTAAATGAATCAAGACAATACATAATATTTTATGTTTTCAATCTCAGTGTTTTTAGGTTAAAAAACCCTTTTAAAACAGCTCTTTTCATGCTTTTAACTTCTGAATTTACCTCTATATCTGCATTACAGTAACATACCAAAAATCAGAAAATACAGCTTAAACACTTATCTYCAGTTTTCCTATTGGTCTGAATTGTATTACATTTCTCATAGCATGTTTTCTACATTTAGAAAAAATGTTTAAAGTTTCTTCTATGAAGTCTGTGTGCAATTAGTTAAGGATTACAGATACTTCCCTCATTTTTTTATTATTTTGTTCATACTCATTTCAARTCATGTCTTGTGGCTAACTTTAGCATTGTTGGCTTATATTTGCATGACTATGTGTAAAGTTAAGATTGTAAAACTGAGATATTAGAAAACCTCATTTCTTTATCAAGAGATACAAKATGCTCTAATATTTTTATGTTGGCAACAGGTATTGTTATACCCAGATGTTTTTTTGGCTCGTGAAGCCATCCTTATGGTGCTCCAGAGCAGCTAAAAACCTAGGGGAGTGGTTGTAGAAAAAAAATAAATCACAGAATATTCTGAGCTGGAAGTGACCCACAAGGAACATAGCATCCAACTCTTACACCTGCACAGGACYTCCCCAAGAGTCATACCATGTGCCTGAGAGARTWGTCTAAATGCTTTTTAAACTCTGTCACTCTTGGTGCTGTGACCACTTCCCTGGGAGCCTGCTCCAATGTCCAACCACCCTCTGGGTGAAKARCCTTTTTGTAACAACCAACCTAAACCTCCCCGGACACAACTTCAGGCCTCTTCCTTGGGTTCTGTCATTAATTGTCAGAGACAACAGATCGGTACTTGCCCCTCCACTTCTCACGAGGAAGTTGTAGATGGCCATAAGGTATTGAGGCATGACTGAGGTATGTTTGAAAAAAAATTGGTTTAGGGAGAAGTGATGTATATCCTGCAGTGCTCCTTGATCGAGTTAGCTCCTGTAAAACACCTGTTCATGAAGAATAAAGAGTTCAGGCTGCTGTGTTTCTAGCATGAAAGTGAACTTTTCAAGCACTGGCGCACGAAGTGCTGGGTTTTTGGTTTTTTTTTTTTTTTTGCTCTAGACTGACACCACGACTTCAAAGACACCGAGTCACATCCTGAAGTGGTGATAGGTGCTGCTGCTTCCCTCGGGAACAGGCCCGCACCTCGGTCAGTGTGGCGAAGGGACCGACTRYGGGATGCACCGCGGCAGCCAGAACRGCGGGGCTCTGGACCAGCCTCGGGCTCTCCAGCCTTCTCGCTGACCTTGGGGAGAGAGCCAGAGCAGGAGGTGCGAGGCCAGCGCTGTCCCTTTCTACCTACCCCATCCTCACCGCCACCCGAGGCGGGAGGACACGGCGCGGCCCCCGCCTGGTCCCCACCCGAGCGCGCCGGCGGAGCAGGTGCAGGGTCCCCCGCTATGAGGGGAGCGCTCCCCATCGCCACCGGGGCGCTCCCCGCCCGCCGCAGTGCTGGGGGCTGATCCCCTCGCAGCGGGGTGGCGGAAAGCACCGCGCCGAGCCGCGGTAAGGCGGGGAGCGGAGACGGGGACAGCAGCCCCGCYGTGGGCAGACAGCGCCCGGCTGAGGGACGCGGATCGGGCTCTGAGTCACCCCTCGCCCGCTTCCCGCCGGGCGGGGCGCATGCGCGGCGGCGGCGSTGGAGTTGTGAATGGCGCGGCTGTTCGGGCCGAGTTTACGAGCCGGGAGGAAGTCGGAGGGGAGGGAGCGGGCTGGGGGCGGGAGCGGGCGGCGGCGGCGGCAGCGGCAGCATCGAGCTCCGGCGGCGGCTGCGGCTGCTCTGCGTGCGCCGCGGGAGGAGGAGGGACGGGAGGAGGGAAGGGGGGGCGCCGCCGGCGGGGGCTAACAAAGGGCGAGGCGAGCGCTGGGGCTGGGACAGCGCGGGGCGGGCGGGAGGGAGGGAGGGAAGGAAGGAGGGCAGCCGGCGGCGGCGGCCCCACCACCATGCCGCGGGTTGTCCCCGACCAGCGGAGCAAGTTCGAGAACGAGGAGTTCTTCAGGAAGCTGAGCCGCGAGTGCGAGGTGAGGCGGCGGGGCTGCCCCTTCTCTCCCTCCCTCCCTCCGCCCGCCGTAGGGAAAGTTTCCGCGGGCCGCGGAGGGGCCGGGGCAGCCCCGCGCCTCCCCTCAGCCSCGGCGGGAGCCGAGCCGGCGGCGTGAGGAGGCGCAGTCAGTGCACTCCGCTGCCCCCTTATCGCCGGGATTGGCCCCTCCTGATTGCGCGTCCTGTTCCCCGCAGATTAAATACACCGGCTTCAGGGACCGGCCGCACGAGGAGAGGCAGGCCCGCTTCCAGAACGCCTGCCGCGACGGCCGCTCCGAGATCGTAAGTGGCGCCGCGCTCCCCTCGGGGCCCGCCGGGACCGGACCGGACCGGGCCGCCCTTGGCTCATGAAATAGAAAGTTTTGGGGGAGCTGTAGGGGTAGGGAGCACTGCGGGTGCCCAAAGGCTCGGGGCCGGCCGTGCCGGGACGGTGTGTGGGGCCGGTCGGGGCCCCGCTGTGAGGGAGAGTTTTCCGTAAGGAGCGGAATGAATTCGGCTSCCTTTCAAACGCTGAGGGAAAGGAGGTTTTGGTGAACAGGCAACGTTTCTGTCCGCCTTAGGAATAGCGCTTTTTCGCTCAAAGGTGTCGGCCCGCTCCCGAGCGSGGAGAGTGGTTATCTGGAGCTTCGGGTTGACAGGGAAGGAAAGAAAATCCCCCGGCAGTGTGACCGGGCTGCGCTCCTTCCCTGGACACGTGCTACAGCTACAAGCTGCTTATTTCAATATTCAGCTTTTTTTCTGTCCGGAAATAGTAGCTTTGAGAAATGAGTAAYATTGTTCAGAAGGCGCTAGCCTAAAGTCCTGAGTGAGCTGTTTGATGTATTTGTGAACTAAATCAAACGCTTTTAAGGTTAAGCCTTGAAACTTGCAACTTAAGCTCCGTTTTYCTCATTCATTAATGTTAGTTACAGACTACTGTCTCCTTCTGAATTAAGAAGTCAGATGAAGTATAGCTCGGAGTAGTCAAGAACTGACTCGTTATTTCCTGTCTTGATTTCTGCTCCAGGTTGCTTCTGTAGGATCAGTGTCTCATAGCATTGTTAAGTTTGTAACTTCACTACTAAAATGCAGAAGTAACCTCTTTTTCATTTGCAGTATGTAATGAAAGACAAGGTAAAAGAGAAAATAAACCCCACTTCCACCAAGTTTGGTTTATGAGCACTCTTTAATTTCACGTGATGTACGTACTGCTACTCAGTTCACAATGAAATTATTTTTATGCACAATGAAATTACTATTATSCACATCCAAACAAAAATAATTGAATGCCACTTACTGTAACTGATCTTGTTCAGTTGGATTTGTCAGTAAGGATACACACTCAAGAACTCGGTTGCCTTTTACTAAATAACTTTTTTTTAGCTGAATCTTATCCCTGCTTGTTATTTATTGTCTTAGAACCTGTAATAKTATTTTGTGAGAGGTCCCCTGTAGACAGATTCCTAATTTTCCTGGTTTTTTACATTCATTTTTCATTGTGTATGTTTGCTTCCTTTGAGAAATCACCAGGGAAACAATGGCTACGTAAGGAAGACATAGTTTGATAGCACTGGAAGTTCCTGTACAGGTGAAAGTGCATAATACACCCAAATCCCTCCACTAAAAAAAAAAATGCCATCTAGCTTATAAACTAGCTTTCTAATGTAGCCTGTGCAGTTATTTATATAAATGGGAAATCACTGTAGTTTCACCTTAGTACTTGTGAGCCTGCTGCTGCTTTTTGCTGCCAGAACTTCGTCCCTTGGAAGCAGCCAGTGATGCTTGTTCTACATATTTTCGCTCTACTTAATTTTAAAACAGGCTCTATATTTCTTCATCTGAAAACATCTGGTTTTGTTTTGTGAGCAGGGCATGAGTAGTCAGGTTTATTTAGAAATGTAGTGTGTGTAATGACTGATGTTAAAAAGAGCTAGTAATTTTACTTTTTTTTTTTTTAGTCTTGAACGTTTTTCCAGACATCAAGGATTTATTCTTTTATCTCCAAAGGGAGCCTCTGCAAATGACCTTACATATTTTGAAGCAGACAAAAACCCTCAGAAAACAGCTTAGGGATTTAGTGTAGAACCGGCAGTAGGTTGTTGGTTACGCGTGTCAAATAGCTCTTGATWGAATAAAGGAAATAATTAGCAATATTACGGAGAAGAACTGTGAAGTGTATTAAATAAGATTTCACAGGTAATGCTTTGATAACTTAAATAGCCTCACATGCTTGGTTTGCCTTGGAAGGTACTTGTGTTTACGATGTCTGTGTGTGGGTCAGGTCGCCCTTGTACCTGATAAGCTTTTCACAAAATTCGAGACATGAATGTCTGATAGCTTTTCAAACTGGGCTTTAAAATTTCTATAATTATAGAAAATTATWATTTTCTTCCTTTCAAGTTTAAAATTAAACTAGTGGTGAGATTGCTTAAAAATCATTATTTTTTATTTAATTTGTTTCYTATTTGACGAAAATTGATGGCTTCCATATAGTCTTGTGTGGTTGTTAGCAAGACTGTTCTCAAGTTTTTCAGTATTAACTTGTGATTTGATTTGAGAAGCACATGGATACTTTAACTGAATGGTTTTGTCTTCAAAAATCTGGAGAGCAAATATCTACCTAACTTTCTAAATAGCTTATGGTTTGAATGGTGCCTGCCTGACTCCATGAGGATGTAGAATTTATGTACTTTATCYTCTTTTCTCTGGTATTTTTCCCCTGGTTTTTCATGGCTCTATTACGTATTGGGGTGGAAGCAGGGGAGGCACAGGCACTTTTCTGTCTTGCTGGGTTTCCCAGTAAGCACGTAAGGTCCTTTTGACCCAGTACCAGAACTGGAGTGGTCCATAGGGCTTCAGTGGTCGGCTGGTTTACTCTCAAAGATCTTACTCCTTGATATTTTAACTGTATAAATTAAGGAGTATAAAACATATATTTGCTTAAGATTCTTGGAGGTAGGATAACAGTTCTTGAGCAGACTGAAGACTCAGAGTCAGAAATATTTGGACATAGGTGTAATTCTTTTGTTGGTATGTAAATAGCATCTTTTAGAAAAGCAAAGGGATAATACAAGGCAGTCAGCCTGATAGTGATGGTCTGCAGCTTTCACAGTTTTGATGTCTCCTAGTTGTGCAAGCGTATGCTTGGTGAAACTTCTGTTACATCGATTAAAATGTTTGTCTTTACCTATTGTAGGGCAAACAAATATTAATGCACCACTACAGTATTTTTTAATGTATATGACTTGTTAATTTTAATGACATTGAGAATGTGGTTACAGGAGGTAAAACAGGCAAACAAAACCAGCAACAACAAAAATTTTAAAATCTGTTTTTAAGGATAGTCTAAAACCTGATAGCAGAGCATTAGCCTCCCTTGGTGGAGGGGGAAGAGTCAAGACAAAGCGCTTCTACTTTGAAAATGGGCGGCATTAATCCTGTAACAGACAGCGTTGCAGTCCATGACTAGAACTTAAATACCGTGCAGCTATTGTGTCACAGGTAGCAATACAGTTATACCATAAAGTTGTTGAATTCTGGGTTGCTTGACAGAAATCTGCTTGTCAGGAAATGATGACTGTTAAAGCAGTAATGTATAGCTTTTAAGAAAAACTATGTTCTGGATTAATGACCATTTAAATCTAAGTGATCATGATGATAAATACAGTCGTTTGATTGCAACAAAATGCATTTAACCCTGGGATTTTGAGAAGATTGATATTCTGTGAGTCTGTGTGAGTATTCACRTGCTTACAGAACAACATGTTCACCTGTACCGGAGAAAAGTATAAATATTGTGAATCCAACGTCTGCTTGCAAAAACTCATTTTTTTATTTTGTGTCTAGGAATTGCTTTACTCCTCATGGGTTGGAGTTGAGATAAGCAAACAAATACAGAGAGTTTATAAAGAAAACAGAATCTTATTTTCATTTGAAATTGTAGAAAATCGTTTCCTTGAAAGCAATGCACACYTTTTCTAATCGGTTCAAGCCAGTTCCTTTAATGATTTTACAAAGGGCTGTAGCTGAGAAGAATTCCTGCAGTTGCCTTTTCTCACTGACACAACATCTGCTGATCTAGGTATCCCTGGTGTCTTAATGTGGCATGAGGACTTTGTCCTGGGAAGCTTGATTGAACTGTGTATTGRTGCTGCATGCCAGGAGATGATAAAATAGGAATATTTGTGTTTCAGTTCAGTGTCTATCTAGGTGTAAGTAGATTGTGAAAGGAAAGAAGTMATTTTCTTTTGAAAAGAGTTCCTTAGTAACGCTTCTAAGTAGTTCATTTTCCTTCAGCGGTAGTTCTTTTAGAGACATGCAACCTCTTTAAAAAGCACGGGTAGTTTTTAATGCTGCAGGTACTAAGTTGGTGCAGCGTATCCAGACAGAACTGAAAGGACAGATTTTAATGTCAGCAAAACTGATTTGAAAGAAGTATTGATTCCATGTTGTATTTTATATCCGAAGCAGCCAATGGCAAATGTTGTCAAAATGGAATCAGATGTTTGTAACTTAATACTTAAGAAAAATGATGAGTGCATGTTTTTGACTTTAAGTATTCTCTATGCTGCCTGGCTTAAGACATAAACTGATGTAAAAATAAATGACTGCCTGCATAATTTATGTAATGTCTTGCTCCCTGATCCTGTTTGTATTGATTTTTCTAAAAGGCTTTTGTGGCCACAGGAACCAATCTGTCTCTCCAGTTTTTTCCGGCCAGCTGGCAGGGGGAGCAGCGACAGACACCGACCCGGGAATATGTCGACTTTGAAAGAGAAGGAGGCAAGGTAAGGAGGAAATTGTAGCAACTGAAAGAAATGTTTATGTTGTGCTTATGMTCTTACTGGTATGAACTGCACGTATGATGTGAGATTTGTAATATTTCACATCTCCATGCAGGTAGGTAGTGACATGAGTACAAGTGAAAGCTGGTAAAGTAAAATATTCCTTTGTTTTAAAGCATATCAATGTTTAGGCAAATGGAAGARTTGGGAAACGTTGGCTGTACTGTGGCTTTGTATTATTTTGAAGAACAGAACTACTTCTACTATCATGCTATGATAAAATTTTGGGGAACAATCTAAATTTGGTGTTGAGTAGGTGCTTCTAAAGTGGTKCAGAAATTACTCTTTGGCCAAGGAATTGTGGTAGACTAATGAAAATTTGCATTTTCAACAGGTTATTTCATTGTGTCTGTCTGCCAGTTGGTGCAGCAAGTAGTCATTGTGCTTTAAGTGGAATGAAGCTTTTTCTCAGTTTCACCATCAGCTATAATAGAGAAGCAGCATCGCTTTCAGAATTGATTTCTGAATCTCTTTTTTCTGAGGTGGTTGTCCCATAGACTGATACTGAAAGCTCGAATTCCCTAGTGACAGGGCTGGTTACTGTGAAGCTGTATTAGATTTAAAGTCAGAAACCTTGCTTAGTCTCATCAGAATAAAGTTGCTGAAATCACTTACAATTWACAGTAAAAATATACCTTTAAAATGTAGATGCTGTCTCTTATCTATGCTACTGTAGGTGCTTTAGGACTGRTCCAAAGATCACTGAATTCAATAGGAGACTTTCTGCAGGCTTCAGTGGGTTTACCAGCACTTAAGCCCTCATAGCTTTTCTGTTTCAGACTAACTTTTGTGTAATATTTTTTTTTTCTTTTTAAAAACTTCTAATGCACTACAAAATCCTTCCTTTTGCCTAATTTTTTTACCTACCCTTGTAACGAGAAACAGCTAATGCTACCAAACCTACCAGGCTGGAGGAAATAGTTGAAGCATATTCAGGTTTAATGGCATATTGGGTCTTTTAAATGCTGCTAGGTGGAAGATAAATATTTCCTATAGTGGGAAAACTTGATTGGAAGAAAAAAAAATTCCTGAGGGCAGTTATGGTATGTGGAATTCAAGTTAATGAGGTTTTTTGGAAAAAAATTGTTTTCCATTTAGTCCTGTGAGGCTTGCAGAAGTTTGACAAATTGGGGGAGAAGTGAAGTTGGCTGTCTGGGTACTGACTGCTTTGCTCAGGAAGCTGAATTGAATCTGGCTCTTACTGAAAAATATTGATTCTGGCTCACAATTGAATGAGGAATTTTTCTTGTAATGTGTAAGAAGACTGAAGTCTCTCTTCTTGCCAGTTCAAAACTAATTTTATTTACTCCTATGATTTTTTTAACTTTATTTTCTCTGAATGAATTCTTAAAGTACTGAACTACTTCATCCATTTTCTTGTGTTGTCTTAATCATGTAAGAGCATGGTAGGTATGCTGTGTATTAAAATAGAACATGAGCCTCATTAATGAATGCCACTCCTTCTTTTATGTGTGTTTACAGTAAATTCTAGACTGCTTCAGTGAAATGCTTAGAAGAATTCCACTGAATGAGGCTAGAGGTGGACAAACTGATAAATGGGAGTAATGTTATGCTCTGGTATGAACAAATCACAAAGTCACTGTTATAATCAGCCCTTACTAGAGTAGATCAGACATGAATGCAGGCTTGCTTTGCACAGAATTAAACTTCTTTGAAAGTGAGCCACTCCCATTATTTGAACAGAGAGTGAACAGATTGGGTGAGTGTTTCTTAGATTATCAACGGAAACAGTTAAGTGTTTCATATGAATTGTCTGAGATTTTGTTCTCTAGATTTTTGTCATTTGGGTTAATTAAGAATTTCTTTCATAGGCTTCAGCAGTCTCTTAAAACCATGTGATTTTTGTAGCTCTGTGCAACATTGTTTTATGAGCTTTGATTCTTGAGGCAGTGCATAATGTGTGTTTGTTCATCACTGGAATTATGCCAGCAAGGCATGTTTTTAATTATATGAATAAAAAAAGGCTATGGGGGGAGCTGTCAGTTAATTATTATCTTAGGCATTAGTTTGAGATCTAGAATGTAGATAAACTTGCCAACATTAGAATATTTTTATTCTGGAATTCTGCTTCAGTGTTWGGCTAAACAAATGATGGCCCAAAATAGTTTATCCAGATTTGAAGTATGTCACTATTGTGCTAAAGCAGTTTTGTATACAGATTGACAAAGCTACCAATGCAACATCTGCGAGAATTGCTACTTAAATGATTGAATTTTAGAAAGAGCAACAGTCGTGAAAGTTGGGATTCTGAAAATACATACTTCATAAGCTTGAGGTTTTYCAATCTGGTATTTCTTAACTGAGAGGTTTTTTTTTATATGCCTAATTTGCCTTTTAATTCGATGCATCTGATGTTCACAATGGGTGGGTAGGCCTCTGGTGGATACCCTGTCTTCATTAATCCAAGAATTGGATGGCTCAGTGTACGCTTAATGTKTCTACTCATTTTAAACTCAAGTTTAACTTCTTTTTTTTTTTTTTAAGATAGCTTTAACATTCTGTGCTGTCTTTGACCTGCTGCAAATTTAATTGTGTATTTGAGCAATWTTTCAGGTTTGTCATGGCAAAAGAAAAAGCAGCACTAAAAATAGGTCCCTAGATTGTAAAAATGATAGAACGCTTTAWTTCATTGTGATTGTGGGTGTGTGTGGGGTGTGTCAGATGCAGTGTGTGTCCTGTTTCTGGGGAGCTGAACCATACCAAGGCTTTCTCATCCTCCGTGGTGTCACCTAATGTCCAGGAGGTTTTTTGTTTGTTTTTTTGGTAAAGAATAAATGAATAGGTGTTAAATTAAAATGTAGGCAGTGTAGTAGTCTAATGTATTCCCTGAAATATTAGATATATAAATCTTGTGATTAAATGGAAGCTTTATTTTCACCTTTGTTTTCTGGTATCATTAATGACTTAGGCTAGTTTCACTGTGGTTAATGAATTTCTTTAATTTCAGTTTTGAATAAATGACATATATGTATGGACTTCAGTGCTTTTTCAAATCTAATCTTATTSCAAGTCCCYTTGTTTGGWACTGTGTGGTCATCTTTCTTTGCAYGATTCATTTTGTATACTTCTTAGAGTAAGATAATGTCCCCAGTTTCCATTTGTTATTCAAKATGTTTCTATAGCTCTTCTCTTTCTTACTTGAATGAGCATTAGTTCTCAGATATTCTTTTTCACTATTTAAGTACCAGTCACTGATGAACTCTGTGCAATTGTTTTACTTCCCCTTCCCTTTATAATACTATTCTCCATCTCATTCCAATGCAGCTTTACTTCCTGTCTGCTCTTTGGTGGCAGCTGCTCATAAACCAGAATCTTCCACACGGACTTATTTCACTCTAATACGCTATGAACTCTGYAGCTTTGGAGGAAAGCACATCAGACATGATTTAAATTGATTCAGAGTGCCTGCTGTGCCACATGTGATGTAGTAGGATTTCTACTCATTAACCATTAACTTTGKTCTAGCCATAACTAAAGATTTTAAGTTTTTTTCCTGAAGATGCTGAGTTTCTACTTACGTTTTTTTTGTCATAACTAGGAGATTTTATTTTACTTTAAGTTGGTGTTAACTGCTTGGATGAATAAAAAAGAAAAAAAGCAAGCCTCTGTTGTGCTGCAGATGTTACAGCAGAAACAGAAGTATAATGAGGAATAGTGTTTATTAAAATACAACACCTATTTAAATGGCAGCCAATAGTACCAGCTTTCCACTTGTGTCCTGTTTTCTCACTAGAGGTTTGATAGATAGGACTTGTCTGCAAATTACCTTTTTCTTTTCAGACTTTAGCAATAAAATTTCATGGATTATTGGGATGGTGTGTTGGCTGCTCTGTTTTCTGAGCAAGTGCAATTTCCAGTCAAACACAGGATCGCAATGTACTGAGTAGAATTTGCATGGAAGAGAAAGACTTAATTTATGAGAAATACCTTRATATCTGTCCTAATGTGTATTGAATCAGAAGTTTTACTTTAATTTCTTTGGWCGCCACCATTTCCTGGAGAAATTAGATGTTACATTTCTTTGTCTTTCAAACAGAGTTGGAGTAGCAGCTTTCATTTTCCTTTCTTTAGGTATGCTTACTTTTTGGAAAAAGGTGAGGGTACCTGGGAAACCAATATACAGTTTCTGCCCTTATTTCACTCTGTAGAGGTAATAAACCATGCTCCTTAAGTTCCTGTATTTTCAGTCTAGTAGTATTTGGAAGTTTAGTATTGTCATMATTGAAAAGATTCTCACAGTTAGCAGTTACTTGTATGTGTTCCCTGAAATCCATTGAGTCTCTGGACAGAAGGATTTGATTTTTTTTTTTTCCAGATCAGTCTAAAAGAGTGTCTGGTATTAGGGATTTGGGGGGAGGGGGAAGGCAAAAAGCATTCTACAGCCACAATATATTAATTARAGATCATACTGTGGTGTGCCACCACATAGGGCAAACTATGTCAGTCCTAAGATGCTTGTGGTCTTCCCACTTATTGAGATTCCATCATTCTGTTTGTCTGTAGTAAAGTAATGCACCTTCAAGTTATTGTGAAGGTCTCTGTTTAAAGCATTTCGTGAGACAGTGCTGCAGCCCTGAAGAGCTGGGCATCATCTAACAAAAGTTCACAGAGCTCTCTGTGTGTGGTAGAAGCATATGGACATGTAAGATGGAACATAGTTAAAAGCTGGCTACTTTGACCTTTAAGGAGATTCTTTGTGTAACATCTTTTAGTATGTGAGGATATTTTATTTCCAAGGAGCTGTCCTGCTCATAAASGCCTTCTGCAGAAGAGTCTTGTTTCCAAGTTCAGGGTCAAGGTGAGGTWCATTGCTTGGCTCTGTGAAGTTCTTGACTGGTCCATTAATGTGATGGTGGGTTAGGATAACAACATTTTGGAGTCAGATTTTTATCATGTTTGTCTGTTCTCTGCCTTTGTGCTAG